TCGTCATCGAACAATGAAACCTAAGAATGGTGGTCCCAAGAAGCGACTGTGGGCATGCCACGGTGCGGTATGCCGCCTCACCTTTGGGTACCACAGTACCATACCAGAGGCAAAAGAATGGGTCCACCCATATTCTGGCCAAAGGATGACGAGAGACGAGTTCATGCAGATTATCGGATATGACCCACTCAAGGGCAAAAATCCTGACAAGGATGGACCCACTGATGGCTCTTACCTCTCACCAGAGGCGTGCCTGACACTGTCGAACCTCGACCCCTCGCCGATTCTCTGTGAATGGAACGGCCATGTCGAGGGTGATGAGCCACCAGAGGAAGACTTTGAGTCATACGCAGAGATCTTCTCACAAGAAGCATCGAACGATCTTGACGAGATGTGGTGTACAAAAGGGCCTTACAAGGTCATCACCATCGCGATCGTCCATTTCAACTCGTTCATGACTCATAAGGAAGAACAGAGACGCGAACTGGTGAACGCGTTCCTCAACGAGGTTCTCCCTTTTAAACCGGATGTAATAGCGGGAGATCTCAATAATATTGCGTCGAGGCTCACCTTAAAAGGTGGAGACGTTCACCCGCGAAACAGTTTGTTTTCTCTATACCTGGAGAAGAAACTTGCAGCATTCAACAAAATAGCAGGAAGGCACTCACAAGTGCGACATCTTTGCTTGAACAACTCCGACCAGCACAGACTGGCACGTGCAGATCGTCTACCGGCGGACCCGGCGAAGAAAGTTGCTGACCTTGACTGTATCAACAGTTATATCCTTGACTGGAGTAAAACGCCGCACACGGCGTCACCTAGTCCAAGAGAGGTCACACCTGCCGCCGAAAGAACATACTGGGAGCGAATCTCAGATATGTGGCAGGACACGAACAACAACAGGGATATTGATATCCGTCTGTTTGTCTCAGTCAAGCAGTACTATTCAACTTTTTCTAACCTTGACCTATGGTTGAGTCCCTCTGACAAAGATTGGCACAGCCCTTTGGGCTTCACGATTCAACCAATCCTTACAAAAGGGAAACACAACCGGTCAGATGCCCAGGTCCAAAAGATCGCTGACAAGCGAAAGGCTTACAAGCAGCGTAATGCTGAATACTGGGGTTACAACGATTCATTCGTTTACTCATCCGGCAACAGCTGGTACGACAAATCGCAACCATCAGGTAGCCATCACAGATATGGAAGATTCTGGGAGTGGCCACAGCCTGAACGTCCCAGCGAGCCTGAAGGTCCTCCTCCAAGAAGGAACCAGGAATCATCGTCCTCTTCACAACAAGATCTACCAAGATCAAGGTCCAGGCCTCAAAGAACCAATATTGTTGACAAGCTCAACATGTCTTTGGAAGAGCTGGATGGACTAGAAGAAGAACCGTCACCAACAAAAAGTGACATCGAAGAACACGAAAGAGAAACATCAAACTTGATGTCCGCTCAGAGAGATGAAGAGGAACAAGAGGACGAATCCTCAAGCCGGAGGAGAAGAAGGAAGGCATCGCGTCCACCGTCTGCTCCGAGCGGCAAGGCACTCAGAACAGCTGCTACAGCAGCGGGGTTGTCGGGCTGGTTCGGACACCGCAACCGAGGTGGAGCGAACGCAGAGTCTATCAAGACTGATGAAACTTCACTTCCAAACTCACTAACCAGTGAGCAGGACTTCTCCGTCTTCAGCATCGCGTGGAATGTGTTCCTGCTGCTAATGGGCTTACACTGGATGTGGAAGCAGATTACCAGGCCTCCTATCAGATGTATGGAGCGCCAACAACCAAAATCAAAAGCAGCAGCGAACCAAAGAGTTCCATTCCTCGAACCCGAGGATGAACCGCAGACGCGTGAACCTTTAGGACCCAACAGGGTCAATTCCGGAGAAACAACTGATCTGCGACCTATCTGGCATACTTCCCGAAGCGAAGTCTACCATCTCTCAGACAGCTGTTACCAGCTCAAGCAAGCAAGAGATGTTTGCAAGAAGGTGCTGTGCAAAAACTGCCTCCATGCAGTACAAGTTGCGGAGATTCGCAGGAACGATCCTTTCCAAAGAGGTGATACACGACCACGTGGCACCGAAAGAGACATTGAGCGCTTCCAGACCTACGATGATGCAAGTAACACTCCTCACATGACACAATTATTCAAGGATGCCTTGCATGCACAAATGGCCGAAGAAGCCATGCAGATTACCTATACATCGATCCCCAAGGGATCCTCGGCAAAAGCCAGAGGTACATCTGCACTCTCAAGTGCCGCATCGTCATCAGCGCCCAAGGCAATGCCACCAGGGCCTAACAAGGCAAACATGTCACCTCCACCTAAGAGTCCTCCGCCAAGGGCGAAAGGAACAGTACCTTCAGATCCTCCGAGACCAAAAGGTCCTACTAGAAGAGGAGGTCAAAATCGGCGCATTCAACGAAAGGCAGCTAGAGAAGCCCACAACAGTGGACTCTGCACCTATGCAGACGCTGCACTTAACGAGGCCAATCAAGGCCAGGCAATTAACGTTACGTGTCGAAACATGGCAGCAAGACACGTCAGCTCTATCGATGCAACGGTAGAAGCAGCCGGCCAGTTTACACAACGCGTGCTACAGCACGTAGAAACATATGATGAAGAGGAACCGTGGAGCACGGAGTTTCTACCAGTCGTGGAAGTCCTATTCAGGAACTTAAGCGGCGACGAAACAACTGTCATACATGACAATCAAACGGTAACTATGCCTCTTGCGAAATACACAGACCTCCTCAGAATCGCACAATCATTGCGAAGCTCTATCCAGAGAGACAAGGAGGAAAGGAAGGAACATCTTGACACCATCCAAGATACTCTATCCAGAGTGGAAATCCTTCTAACAGCACTGAAGGACTCAAGGACAGTCTTTAACCAATTGGTCCATTCCTCACTAGAGATAGAGCGAAGAAATAACAATCTCAAAAATGTCCTCGAGACACTCTTTGACGACCAAAGCTCTGAGGAAGACCAGTCAGAATCTGACAATGAAGAAGTCCTAACTCCTTCTGCAGCACAGTACTGGAATAGCCTTTATGCCCACGCCTTATCTCCTTCAGGAGATGAAAGTGAAAGATCATGGGCGTCCTCAGACGGACAGCTTGAAAGAAGAAGGGCTGAACGGGCAAAGGCTAAGCAGCCGCAACCGGCAAAAGCCAAGGCAACTCCAGCCAGCTCACAAGCTGCTCCAAAGGCCGAGCCAAAGGCGACAACATCCAACCATGGATATGATACTGCAGACGCCGCCTTCACCAGGGCTGAGAACAGATTACTCGGAATCTTTTCAAGTTCCGAAGAAGACCACTCAGACCCGGATGAGCCACATCCGAACGTCTACGCTCGAGCCTATGATCCAAACCTGGATCCAAATCTGAGATAAGAGAATCTCAGAGTTTCACAACAGTGACTCACAAAGCTCTAACAAGAGCAAAGTGAAAGGCTGCATAATTCGATGTAGAAAACATCACCAGACATGATCTTGTACAGATGATCTCTCTGACCAACATGCATGAGTGTGTGTGCAAAATGAGTGGAGTGTCCTCAGCAGTGTACTTCAGTGCTATACCTAGCATAAATAATATGCTGTTTTTATCATGAGTCCAAACTCCGCAACTGTGACAGTGGGCATAACAGTATATGTGTGAATGTGCGGCCATGCTTCCGGTAAAAGAAAATTAGTGTCTGTTTGAAACCATAAACCTCTAAAGGGGTAGCTCTAACAGGTACCTACAGCAATGGCTGCATGCTCATACATATACATTCCGCTGCCCATTGGCTCACAGTGGTTTTACCATATTGAGACAAGACAAGCTCTCCTTGCGTAGCAAGACAAAACAACTACTGTCCGTGTGCAGGGCGCTGCCCTTTGATCCTTAGGGAATAACTGGTCATACACCTCCTCCCAAGGAGTATCCCTTGGGGGTGTATCGGCACAGGGGGGGAGGGGAGGGAGGAAGGGGGGAGGAAGGGGGGAGGGTGGGGAGGGGAGGGGGGGAGAGGGGGGGAGAGGGGGGGAGGGGGGGGAGGGAAGAGGGGGATGGGGGGGTCTTGGAGGGGGGGAGGCCGACAAATCAGGTAAAATGAAGGGAACGAACGCAAAAAACGGGTGGGTCCAAACATTTGCCCTGCAGGGATGAGGATTAGGTGGAGGGTACCTGAGGTAACCATCAAGACGCCTGGGCCTCTGGCCTCGGCGGACTACATACGGACATAGTTCATCATGTGCATAATTATTGATATACACATAAACTTATGTATGTATATATATATATACACATACAGAGAGAAACAGGTATAGCGAAGCATCAGGCGACTGATATTCTCAAGTCGCAGCAGTTTCCGCACGCTTGAGCGCCACCCGAGCCGTGTCGAAGCCTCTCAAACGCGAGTCGGCATCATAATCTCAGTTGCGAACACGGAGCACTTGGAATGTGCTGCCACCAAGAGCTCATGTGAAGCCTCAGCAGACATCACCAGCGGGACACGAAGTCGCAGCCACACGAGCTATGCTCACAAAGAGACGTCTATTCCTGGTTTGGACAGAAAACCGAAATAAAGACGACTGAAAGATCACTGCAACAAAGCTTTGCGCCCTTGCTCCGCGAAAGAGAACGGCAAAGAGCCGGATGAAATCTAGAAATGATTAAGACACCTCACTACAACCCCTTTGTTCAACTGCCAGAAGACTCTAGAATCCTTGCGGCAACTCGCCTGTTGGTGGTGCTGCTGCCATGGCAGAAGATTTGGGCGAGGCTGCGAAATCCGGGAATGTCCCGAAGGTGAAAGCGCTGCTGAAAAAATGTCCGGGTGCCCGGTCACTGACAGCAAGTTCCAGGTATGTACTTGTGGATACTCGCATTTGTAGCTGCATGCACGAGCTCCGGTCTAGTAGCTGTAGGACCAGCGCCGGTGCTGCCTTGCATCGGATTTTGCAGGTCAGGATCTCGAATCCGCCAAGGCCAACTGGGCTCTGTGCGATGAGGGCTGAGTCACTCCTGTCAGCTTTGGGCCCGCAGGTTCAAAATGCCTGTGTGGGCGCTGCCATTGCCCAGCAGGCTCCCCGATTCTTGCATGTCGGCACGACTGCAAGCAACATACTCGTAGAGAGTAGCCCTGTGTCCTGTGAGCTGTCCTTGACCCTGTTCAGGCGGAGTGTGTGCAGGCCTTTCTGGAGGCCGGAGCGCCCTTGACCTGCCTGGTCCTCAGTCACTTCGTTGTCGTCGAGCGCCCCTGGCCTCAAACCCAAGGAGACGCATCACGGCTCTTAAGCCAAGGCAGGCAGCAGCCTGTGAACTCTGAAACTTCAACTTCAAGCTTCGGAAACCGCGAAAACCAGAATCGTGAGGTGGCCGACCAGAAACCTCTAAACCTCCACGCAGGTTTGCGCTTTGTAGCCCTGAGCTCTGCGAGGCTCGGACAAGGAGGGCCGGCGCCTCCTCCCCGCATGCTGTCGCCACTTGTCCTGACTTCGGAAGTTCAGTTGACCGGTGAGATCCTTGTCCTTGTACTCTTCTGCTCAATAAGTCATGTCAGGACGGACTGGGCTGCAGCTAAGGAAGCAGTTTGGCAGAATCCATCGCGTTGATGGTGTCCCTTCGGGCCGACGTGTCGAAGCCCGATGGTATCTCGGCAGCAGGTTTTGGCGACGGCCAGATTACAGATGTAGATTCTGCTTCAGTGCATACTTCCTCCACAGTCAGAACCTCCCTCCACCTGCTTTTTGTCGCTGTCGTCAGCCTGCAGCAAGTTCAGAAAGCAGCTTTCGAGAGCCAGTGCTAGCCGACTGGTAGTTCTTGGCTCAACGTATTTTTCGCGCAGAGAAGTCAAGCGGTTTTGTTTGATTCGATTGCGGCTGTGGCATTCGTTTCCCGAAGCTGCAAGGCGATGGGTCTTTGCCGATGTCCTTGGCCATCCAGAACAAGTCCATGAGCTGCGTCAAGGAACAACTTCGACACAGTTTCGATACTGTAGCAGTTCTACAATAGTTCAATAAGCTGACGATCATCATGTTGGCATTGGTACTCTATGTAAGTCCGAAGATGTCAAAGCAGCAACAGGACCAGACAAGATGATGATAGAAATCGCACTCGGTGTCGTAAATGGACCATGAGATTCTGCTTGTGTCTATGAGTCTATCACACTTTCCCTGAATGCCTTGTTAGGGCTGTTAGGGTTTTGGGTTATCTGCGCAATTTAACATCAGCTGACAGCAGGAGCTCTTGCGCGGGGGTGCCCAACCCCCTGCAAATGCGGACATGCCTGGCCTGGCCAATCTGATGCTGGAGGTAGGCTTTCACAGACTGCATTTCAGTTGTCTCAAGGCTCCACCTCTGGTTGTGGTCAAGTCAAGGTAGCTTATTCCAAGGCAAGTTGGCAACATGTCGCGCGAGTGAACAAGGAAGTGTGGATCAGCACACCACCAGGAAGAATCCCCGTGAATGGGGGGATAGTCGCTTCCCTCCTACGACCACTGCCAGCTCCTGTTCCCCCGATTTCGCGGCATGCTGGCTTGCAGAAACCACCTTCTCGGAAGACGTGGTCGGTAGAACTTGAGCCCTTTGTTCTCCAAGTCTCCGTCGCTGCGTCCGGCACGAAGAAAAGAACAGCTTGTGAGACTGGCAGCTCTGCTGCTAGTTGCCCAACACTGTAATCGAACATGCAAACCAGGCAGTACGTCAAGAGCTCGAAACAGAGCAGTGCAAGTTGGCCACGCATTCTACCTCTTCCGTTGCGTCCTTGGGTTTGCTAGGCTTGAGGGTCTGTGGTGATCCGCTCCGGCCCCCGACTAGTAGCATCCCTCCACTGTATGCTGGAAGTTATGACAGTGCTGGGCCAGGTGCAGTTTGAGCAGTGTGAGGCTGAGATTCGGCCGCTGGCAACCGCGGAGGCTTTGCGGGCAAATGGCGAGATAGGCAGGTAAACTGTAAACACTGAAACATCCTGCAACAGCGGCCAGATTCTCAACTCCACAGCTTCACTAATGAGAAAACCCCACGTGCGGCGCTTTTGCAAACGTCGACGTAGATGTCTAGTCCACTGATAGCACCGAGCCCGCCTGTGCCAATCTTTTGATTCCTGTTCAGCAGACTGGTGTCTCGTTATCCTCGTATCTTTCTTGGTGAGCTTGGAGGTGGACCCAGCACAGCTTCTTGAAGCTGAGCGGGTCGTCCTAGAGGGCATGGAGGACGCGAGAGTCCGTTTGGAAATTGAGAAAGCATGTTCTCCGTACATCGCTCCACATAGTAGCTCAGATTTTTTCAGTGGTGCCAGGACCACAAACGCCTCATCAAGCTTCACGAGGTCCTTTCGACGAATTTGCCGAGAGCTCCCGGGGAGACGGTTTCTTTAGCTCAGTGTTTCAGGACACGAGAGCCTCGAAGAGCTTGGCGGAGGTGGAGAGGCAGATCGCAGATGCCCAGGCAAAGCTCGAGGCCACAAAGGCCTCCTCAGCCCTTTGCACTCAAAGCGCGTCGCTGTCCCTCTTTCTAGGACATTCGAGCAGTCGTACGGAATGTCCTTTAGGGTGCCGAGGGCAAGGACCTGTCCTGCAAACTGAGGTCGAATATGTAGAATCAATGACGCTTGCCTGCATCGTGGAATCGATAAGGGCCTTTCCAGCTTGTTCAGCATGTGTCACGCACGAAGACAGGTGACCCTGCGGCCAAGACATGTCAGCCTGCATTTTACGGCCAAGGAATCAAAAGAAGATCGCCATCCGAAATGCGTGCAGCCGGCAATATTGAACAAGCCCTCAATTCGCATGCATAGCATGCCTCTGCCCGGGCTCTCAGCTCTGCTTTTGCTGTGCGTGGCAGGGAAGCTGAGCTGCATAAGCTCCACAAGGAAATCCACTCCGTGTGAGGCCCAGTCTGTCTAGCTTGGCGTTGTCAGAGTGCAACACCTTGCCAATTGACGCATGGGCTCAGGTCCAAGAGACATACACCAAGCTCAAGGAGGAGGATGCCAAGGTCGGGCGGACCGGACCGGCTTTTGTGGTCTACAAGGGAGCCTTTATAAGCCTTAATTAAGCTCACCCCCTGCAGTTGAAGCAAGAGCTCATCACGAGCCACGAGACTCTGAAAGAGGCCGGGCTCGGCTTCTGCAGGAATTCCTTCGTTGGGCAAACTTTGTGCCTCCGAAGGCTCAAGCCGAACGCGACGCTTTGGAGGCTGCAGCGAACCTAAAGGAAAGTCAGCCGAGTAGCTCCGTGGCTTTTGCATGTGTTGTTGTCTCTGCGAACAAGGCACGGCTGGAGCGAGAGCAGCTTACCGGCAAGGCTCGCAATGATAAGTAGGACAGTAGTATTGAATTCAGTTTTTTTTTTTTGCGGACACGACCAGCTCCAGAGGGTCAGAGTAACTTTGCCTCCATCTGAAGGCCCAAAGTTGGTCCAAGATTTCGAAATTTTGCAGGTCCAGGAAGAGCTGCAGGAGCTGGAGAAGCTCATTGAGGAGATGCATGCGAAGGGTTATATTATGTTGGAGGCTTGAGCCGGTTGAGCTTATGGTGTCGGCGGAGGGTTCCAGCAATGTAGCCTTGGAGTCCTAAGAGCATCTGCAGGAGCTTGGAGGATCTTTAAGTCTCTTTGGTTCAGCGTGCTTGTGGGTGCGTTCTTGCGGAGGCGTGCGCTGCGACGCAGTTTCGAGTTGTGTTTCGACATGCGGATCATGGAGGGATGTAACGATGCGGGAAGTGATTCGAGCTTCTCCGCAGGAACAGACGCAGCAGAATGCCTGCGGCTTGATGGGTCCGATCATCCGCCGGGATGGTCAGCTAGAGCCTGCAAGAGGGTTGCATCATGTGCTGGAGCCTCCAGCCTGAGGCCGGCTACCAGCAGGAGTTGCTTGCAGCCAGAGAAGACTTGGAAAGCTTTTTCCTCAGCCAGAGATACTTCGCTTCGCCTGGGCGGCGCGGGTTTTCTTCGGAGCTGTTCTGCATACAGTGAAGAGACCGCTACGGCTCCGTCCAGACGAGGCCAAATGTCATTCAAAGGCTCAGGAGAATCCCATATCACCATCAACTTGCGCTAAGTGCACTACCCCAGAAAGTGTCATCTTTTGGCGAGCAAGGGGAACTTAGCCTCGAAGAGCGACTCAATTTGAACCGGTTCAACAAACAGATCCTTCTGAAGTAGTCTGGAGAACTGGAGAACACTTCACGAGGGCAAAGTCTTGACCAGTCATGAGTCAACGGCATGAGTTGATTGCGAATGTAAAGACAACGATGACCAGACCCAGCGTGTCGTAAAGAGCAAGGCCTTGCTTGACATGCCCCAGGCAAGATGCGGGACAAAGAGGAGGCCAAACTTCTCACCGAGAAGGACGGGGCGTCATTTGCGATTTCAGCCTCTTACCATTGGACCATGGTGATGAGTCCAGTTCAATGTGGGATTCGTATGACTCCGGATACGACCACGCCATTTTGCAGGGTCAACCTAGTTCTGTCACAGACTTTGGCTTGCTAATGTGGGATTCGCATCAGATCAGGCGCATCAGCTTGTCGACACACTCTGAGCTCTCGGCAGCATCGCTGGCAACAGTGTCTCACAGCGTTGGAATGCTTTGGAAGGGAAACTTCCAGACATGCAAGGTTGCATCGTGCAGTGCATTGAACGGCTCTTGCACGCAGCGGGTGCGAGGCTGTTTGAGGACTGCCCTCCGACTCCGACGAAGTACCAACTTCAGAAACCGTTGCGTGCCGTCTCAAGCAGGCCAAGCTCAGCTCGCTTCAGCCAAAGCTTGCTGCATGTACACAAGGAATGTTTCACAATGCTGCCGAGCAGCTCGTAGCGTCTGTGAATCCACGGCGTTAATGTCATGCTGCCCCCGACACTGCTGCTGCTGCTGCTGAGCTGCGCTTTCTGTGGTTGCAAGCAACACCATGCCTCCTCTGGCATTTCAACTCGTGCTTGAACGTCATCGAGCCATTGACTCATGAGATGTCAGGTGTAATTAGTACTGCCTGCCGAATCAATCCAGAGTCGCAGCTTAGGAGCGTACATAAGCCCCACCTGAAGAGCAACCTCCGCGCCGCACAGTTTAAGATCGGCCATGCAGCCTTGGCATAAAGGCTCCCTTCCTGGTGCTGCCTTCATGTCCGTGCAATGGGCAGCACCGTCGCTTTCTGCGAAGAGCTCGGTCAAACTGGTACTTGGTAGGAGGAAATGTGAACAACAGTGAACAACTATGGCAATGCGTGCGCGTCTGATCATTTTAAGCAACGGACATCGAACATGTAGTCTCAAGATGTTGTCCCAGCTTGCGACATTCAGTCAGCCATCAGCGAAGCATTCTGTTTTGGCATTTGAAGCGTGGTCCGAGCCACAAGCTGCCCAAAGGCACCTGCCTCGTCATCCCGAGTTGGCCGTTTGCAGACTCGGCTTCTGGATCTGAAGACACAGCAGGCCAGAGCAGTCAGTCTCGATAATCATGCCCATGCCTGTGCATGCTTGTGCATGTGCACAGGCCCATAATATGCCACCCATTGCCTCTTCCCAGAAAGCAGCGTTTCGAATACGAGGACAGGAGTTGAAGGGTCGCTTCCCCTTTGCAAGCTGAGTCTGACTGGAGCTAAAGTGCACCTTATACTTGCCTGGCTCACTTCAGGAGGCATATCCGTAGCAACTCAGCAGCAAGCTGCCTCACATGCCACCGCCATGCGCAATTGTGCAACCACAGATTTGAAGCACATGCCATCCTGAGGCCGGCATGCTCGCTGCTGCAAAGATGCACAGCAGAGAGGCCAGTTGGGCGCGTGCAGATCTGCATGGGCGTCGCAGTGAACGGAGGCAGCCCGGTGCATTTCTGGAAGAGCAGGCAGGGTGTAAACCTTGAAGCGAGTTCACAACTGCATCCTGGTTTTCGACTTGCCAGGGAGCCAGCCACCGAAGTCGCCGCAAAGCGAAAACCTCGGCTTTTGCATATAGCACTCGGTGATCCTGGCGTAGCCGTGCATGGTTCCTGAGCGACTCACCTGTCGGACATAACTTGGGCACAAAGCGTCCTGCAAAAAGACCTCAAGAGAGCAAGGGACAGAGCAAGAACTCGGCTGCGGTGTGTCCCACCTCAGTGACGGCATGCGACGGCCAGTCGCAGACGGTCTCGGTCAAGTGCGAGGAACGGTTGCAGCCGCCGCCCATCGGCAGAACCACCACCAAATGCCGCCGCCACCGAAGCCGCAGCAGCAGCGGCAGCCGTCACTCGTACCAGAGCCAGCAACGGCAGCACCGAAAGCTGCAACCAAACTTCGAAACACCATCACTGCTCCGCTCTGACCTCCCGAAGGCTGAAGGCAACAAATCTTGAGTTCGTTTGTCACCAGCCCGGATGTTCGGTATTACTTCTCGTTAGGCACAGACAATACAGGTCGCGGCGCGAGACATGAGACGTCCAAGACATGAACTGCAGCAGCACCGCAAGACTGCTGCTTGCACAGTTTCCACAATGGAATAAGCGCCTTCTTCAGCTTGGCTGGATATTGAGCAGACGGATTCCTCAAACATGTCGTGCCGGGGAGGCATGATTCAGAAGAACAAACACTTCGAACTGTGCCTGTGTTGAGCTCCATACCGGTCACGCTGCTGTGAGGCATTTGACACTAAATATTATAATGACTATCTGTTCCATATGATAAGGACTAGTGACTAGTGAGGTCAGCCCAGCATGCAACATGGAGCGGACCTGGGATGCACACGAACCATTGATGTGCTACACGCGCCCTTCGCAAGCAACATGCATCGCTGAGAAGCCCCTCTGTCGCGTTTAAAAGACCGTGCGAACGCGTTGCGGAAGGTGTGCGCTTGACTACAACTATTGTGAAGCACAATGAAGCGCATTCGGTTATCACATGTTCTTCATGCATGTTTCGTGTTGGCAAGCACGTGGTTTTCCCGACGACCAGTCCTGCTGCACGAGACTGGCATGGTTTCACCCTGGCATCAAAGCCGGGGCTTGACTTCATGCCGACTGTAGAGCTGAAAAGAAGGATGAAGTTCGTCAAGTGGGTAGAAGCACAAGGCAGAGGAAGAAAGGAAGAGAGGAAGGAGTGAAGCAGGGAGTGCCTGTGCAGGGGGTTTCGTCCCCTCAAGCCTGGTCGCGCAAAAAGGGGCGAGAGAACCACTGAGCCCAACGGTTACAGTGATGGCGGGAACTAGCCACAGCCAGCGCATGTCGCCGCCGCTGGCGGTGGTGCAGCGCAAGAGCGTGGCATGCTGATGTGAATTCGATCATTGTAGCAGTCATCGTTTACCAATTTGAATGTCTTGTGCGTTTGTGTGTGTGTGTGTGCGGGTGTGTCTATGAACTTTGCAGTATGAGTCCGTATTGTTTGGCTGTCAGTTCAGCTTCAATTTTGGTTCTCCCTGAGGCCGGCGACGATGGGCTGGAGCAGCACCGGCCGCAGCCGCAATTGTTGATGTGGCTGGGCCGGGCACACCCATAGCATTTTCAGCGCAGGTTCCAACAGCCATCTCGGTGGGCATTGGACTGATCATTCGCTTCGTTTGCCCGGTTCCGGAAGGCGGGGGAATCCGTCATCGCAGTCGGCTTGGACAGAGTAATTATTTGTTAAAAAACCATATTGTTTTGATGCTGATGCGTCCTCGCTGTGTCAGCCTTGCCAGGAGTCTCCGCACAGGGCTGGTCCATCCTTGCCCTGTTCGTGGCAACGGCACGCACATGTCATTCAGCCAAACTGTTTATGCTGCCATGGCTCGATGTGCACAGTTCCACCAGGTCACCGGCATCGTTACCCAACCTCTACCGTCTCCAGGCAGCATCGTGGGCAGTTTGGCAAGAGTTGCACTGGCATAGCAAAAGGTTTGGGTCGAAGTCCGGTGCAGGTGTTGCTTTTTGTGCCCTGGCTGTTGGCCTACTGTCGAGAGCTCAGCACCAGCACATGGATGCAGCCAAGACTAAGTAAAGAGAACTGGAGGGTGTACCCACATGCATAGGACCAATGCCCAGTAAGCCGCACTGTCACTGTATGATCTTCAGGAGAGGTAGACATAGACGTTAGCGTCCTGTGGCTAAGGACGAAAACGCGAAAGCCTCAGAGCATTCTCTTACTGCCTTTTGGGCGGCGCTTGCTCGGGCTCGTAATTGTTGCAGAGCCTGGCTGGCTAAACCACATCCTTGTCCAGGCTGACTTTTGCCGAGGGCGTTGCTGCATTCACTGATGAGGCCAGACCGTGTTGTTGATGTCCTCGTTGATTCCGCCCTGCGAGTCATATTGCTGCCACGAATCAACTTAGCGTTTCTTGAACACAGAATGTGCCCCAAGCCCCAGGCTCTCCTCTCTGCACCCGAACAGCCCCGTCTCAGGTGTTGTGGCTGGTCCTACTCGCATTCTTCTTCACCAAGGACCTCGACCGCCTGCCGACATCTTTTAGAGCCGAGACTGTCTGAGACTCCCAGGGCTTCGCAAAGACCGGCCTTGGTGATCGCATTGCTTTAAGTGCGCTCCTCTAGGGCAGGGCAGGGCCCTGGCCACAGATCTTCTCTGAATGTCCGGGATCCAAGAAGCGTCAGGTATTGTCCGCTTGGTCGGGGGCACAACCTTGGGACTGGCCTATGGCCTGAATGCAGCGGAGGGAGGCCTAGAGCGCTGCAGCGCTACCTGGCCCCCCCATCCACACATTCCACACGCAGCGCACTTGCGATCACTGCGATCGGCTGTGCAGTACTGGCTGCTGGTATGCCTTCTTCGGCCGCGCGAGCTGCTGGGTGCCTACCTTCCGTCCGTCCTTGCATCTCGAATGTGAAATTTCTTGATATCTCTACTGTTCATGCTCAATTGCTATATCACATAGAATAGTCACGCTGTCGACCTTTTCAAGCTATCTGCCTTCAAACTCTGACGCTTTGCTTTTCTCCAAGTTGTTCTAAACAGAATCAACAGATGGCCACCCCGAACCTTTCATGATTTGAGACTGAATCGTAGTTGTGGTGCCTGTCCTTCGAATCTGAAGACACGACCAGGCCGGGGTGTTTTATCCGCTGGCGGACTCAGTTGCAAAGGCAAGGGCTGATGAAGCAAACGGTTGTCCCAGCTTGGGTCGACGCGGGTTCGGCACTACGCAGGCGTGCGGCTCCGACCCAACAAAGAACAAGGCCCATCCCTCAGACTTGTCAGCCCCTCGTGTCTAGAAGTCTAGTAGCACGAGTAGCGCCAGTCATGAGACTCCTGACCATGGCAATCCTCGAGGTCACAGCGATCACGAACGTAAAGCCATGAAGTCTCAAACGCGATGTTCAGGAATTGTCATTCAGTTCGGATGTGTGGGTGCAGAAGCCTTGGCTCAAAGTTCTCATGAAGAAAGTCGACATGCGAGGCTGCAAGATGCTCTTTCAAGACAGGGAGTGACCGGGAAGCAGCGGCAGCTACAGCAGTTGGCCTAAGAGAACGAGTGAGAATGAGAAAGATTTCGGTTGCTCCTCGTTGTTCAGTTGTGTCGAAAAGCATCCAACTTTTGCCGACTTGTTCGTCACGATTCTGAAACATGCCTTCGACACCCAGTCATATATCATGTTGTCATATAGCCTCGACAACGTTATCGCCATTCCTTCACTCCTCCGGCAGCCGCTTCAAAAGCGTGCGCTGACATGTTCGACTTCGATCTGCTCGAGGCTGCGCCAGAGATGGGCAGCACAGGACAGGCGACAAGCTAGAAGGGCTTTCTCAGCACAAGAGATCAAAGTCACGAGATCGTGCCCCCTTCTATGACATCACATGACATCATAAAAGTAAAAAAGTTACACTTCGCACTCCAGCTGCCGGCAGGATCAGCTGGCAATATGTCCCACGAGCTCTTGGCTGGGAATGGCGCTGCTGCCGCACAGCGAATTGCCCGATTGGATGCTCGCCAGCGGGAGGATGCGGAGCGCGTCATGCTGCTAAAGGCTGGTATTGCTTTGCAAAGCATGGCTCGGCAGTGCTAGGTGTGACCGTGGTACTGGTAACTAGTTGGGCGTGATGCAGGCGGTCAATGTAGTCAACGAAAAGCGTGTCCTCGTCACTGCTCCTCGACTTAGACTGCCACTGCCACCGCATCTCAGCTGCAGTTTCATTGTAAGGGCGAGCAACCTGGACCTGCATCCATCCCAGACCGAGGCAGGAAGCTGCAGTGTGCCCGGAAACCATCCAGCAACAGGCCCAGGTTGACTGGGAAGCAGGCCCGTCTGCTGTTGGTCTGAATGCGGCAACTGTGGGCCATGTTGGGATGCAGGCTCGAGATGTCGTTTGAGACTTCCGGATGCCGTGCTGGGACGAGTGGCATTTTCCGTCCCGTGGGCCTGTGCAGCCCAGGCAGTTTGGAGACTGCAGCCTCCTGACAGCCAAGCCACCAAGCCCGTTGAAGGTTTGGGCAAGTCAGGTTTTTGCTACTTGTGCCCGCAGGCGGGCGCCTGGTGTCGCAGCGCTCATACAGCGCTGTCTCCCCGTATGGCACGGGCGCGCCAGCAGGTTCGAGAGCTTTGGGCAGCGTGGCGTCCTGACATTTCTTTGGATCTCGAATCGGGTGCCTTGTCAGCACGGAGAATTCAAATAGTGGCAACAAATGCAAGAATGCTTTCGGTCTGTGTTAAGGCATCATACCTGCCTGTGCACGAGCACCGTCGGGTACTTTCGCTGGAAGGCCGCTGCTTCATGCCGCTGCTGGTGCAAATGATGTGATGGCTCTCAAAGTGCTGCTGAAGCACAGGACTGGCTGGGCAAGTTTTGCACCATGAGGGGCACATAGGGCCATGGGCCGCAGCAGCATCCCCCTGTAGGGCCAATCTGAATGCTCTGGATGCCGACGGCTCTTGCGTTCTCGCAGCCGCAGCTCGGCAGGGCTGTTCGGAGGCTGTGGACTTCCTGCTCAGTCGAAGCGGCATCCTTGGGGCGCCGCGCACGGATGTCTGGAACGCCCATGGAGAGAACGTGATCCATGCCGCAGCCGGCGGTGGCTCGGCCGAGGTGCTCGAAGCTCTGGCGCAAACAGTGCCACGAGATTACCTCAACTCTCCGAATCACAGGGGGGACACGCCCCTGATGCGTGCGGCGGTTCTGGGCCGTTCTCCACGGTGTGTGGAGCTGCTCCTGTATCTCGGCGGCATGCAGCAGAACGGCTTCCGTCAATTTCCGTGCATGTATAACGGCGCTCGACATGCTGCCAGCTGCTATACTGTAGGTTCCTGGATGCCGATCCATGGTGCCAGAACAGCCTCGTGGCATCAGCCATGTGCAAAAATGTGTGTATCGCCACGCTGGGAGCCAATGTTGTCTTACAGGTGCTGTTAGAACCTTGTGACGAAGTCGTGCGCTGTGTCGCGTGGTTCTCCAGCACATGCAGTCGTCACGAGACATTCAACCATTCTTTCCAGCACGTATAAGAGTAAGCCACCTGCCCACACGCTTGTGTAGTCGTCCTTCGCGACTGATCTGAGGATTTGGATCCACTGCCCTCGACAAAGTGCGAATCCGGCAGCGCTGCGACAATGAAATCACTGTACTTCTCGAGTCCGCCATGGCGATGGCTTCAGACCATGTCCTACACTGACGCGGCTGTGCTGTGGAAAAAGCATACAGGGGCGCGAGTAGAGACACACGTACATGAAAAGGCGCCTGAAGCTACGATCTGCGGAGTTACAGTGCGGCCGGCCGCCGGGTATAAGACTGAACCAGGACGGCGGCGATGACTGTGACACATGTGATGCTGATGATGCAGGTGAAGATGCTGCTGTTGATGTTGCGATTATGCTCACTCTTACCGCCCAGCCTAGCAAGTTGCTGTGATGGTCGGTGCGCATGTGTCTTGTTCGCGTCTTGCCTCCTGGTACGGTGATAAAAACGAACGCAAGAGTTCTACAAGTACAGTCTGATGGCTATAGCTGAGACCGTTGTACAAGGCTTGAGAGGCTCGTCTATGGAGCATGTCGGGGTCACTGCTAGCTCAGCACAGCATGCGTGTGCAAGCGAGGCCAAAAACACGGGTGGCTTCCTGGTCCAGTGTGCTTTTCAGGCTCGCCTTGAATGCTTCCTGATTGCGGTACCGTGACTGCGAGAATCACCGCAGCCAGTTGCGGGCCGGGAGGCCACTGGGAATTCGTCTTCCCTCTGGCTGTATGGAGCAGCGCAGAATCTGCTGGCCTTGAGGTTTCTGGCAAGCAATGGTTGACAAAGGAGAGCTGAATGAAGAGAGAGCCTTGCAGCAGCGTTTCCGTGTTTCTGCAGTAGCGGAGGCTTGCTGGTCAGCTGGGATACGTGGTCGAGTCTCCTTTCACAACCTGGCTGAAGGCAAGACATTGACTCGGTTCATGCAGCACAGGATTGCCTCAGAGTTGACAGGCAAGCTGCGTGCCAGCCTTGACAGCCATGGTCGGTGACTTGTTGCCTGTGAGTCACATGTATTCGCAGTTCGCCTCTCATACTCGTGCTTTGTGTAAGGCGCTGACACCGCTCGTTGCATTCTGGGCCTTGCCACCCGAAGCCACTTCGGCCGACTTCACCCGACAAGTTTCCAGGGCGGGCGCGTTGGGTCGCACGGGGTCGCCAGGTCCAGCGAACTCCGGACGCGCCCAAGGAGGCCGAGAGGAAACTGCAGCAGCTCCAGACTCAGATGAGCGCATCCCAATCAGCCCTTGGCCATTTTGTGACTTTTTGGGGGATCCACACAGGATGGGGCCATTGAAGTTGGAAGAGGCTTCGCTCGAATGTTGGAGAGAACACTTCTACCTCGACATGTCATTGCCTTCAGGCACTTCTGGCGGGCGTCATCATTGGCATGCTCGTGTTGTGGGCCGGCTCGTCTGCCTTTAGGCGCTGGGGCGGGGGCCGGCGTAGGTAGGTGGATGTGTGTGTGTGTGTGTCATCCCTGAAACTAGGGGCTATTTTCTACTGAATGTACTATTACTACAGCAGGGGGCATGGCGCTTGTGCTCTTAGCCGCAGGTGGAAGGGAATGTAGACGTGACCTGCACATGAGATTGGCATGGGCGATGGGTAGTCGCAGCTTGCAGTCTCAATATCTTACAGCTTACAGTTGTTGCAGGTTCTTGAAGCTGTTAGCTGTCATGTGCAGTCTGATTGCAAGTGCAACAAGCAGTTGGATGAGCCTGGAGACCAGCAAAATCAAGACAGTCAGAAGCAGTAGCGGTAATGTCTGAATGTCTAGACATTATCAAACTGATTGGAGAAAAGAAAGAAGGAGCCAAGTGTCCGACTGCCATCTGGATCACGAGATCCATGCAAGTGTGTGTGTGTGTGTGTGTGTGCGCGGTGTGTCTACTCCGCTAATGACTATCGCAGAATTTGGTGTGGCAGGATTCCACCTGTGCACACTGCAGTGCTGGGGCTTGCAGCCGCAAGCTCGACAAATCTCGGCATCCACGTCAGACAAAAGCTCTTGCGCCCTTGACAAAAGTGAGGTGCTGCTGTGTTCTGGTGTGTTGACCTGGTCTGATTGTGCTGGGGAGAAGGCGCCGGTTTCGAAGCTTTCACCGTTCCAGGTCGGAGAGGTTTTTTTGTGTTCGGCAGGGTGCGTGGACTACAATGACGTGGTTCGCCATCCTCGTCAGCATGAGTGCGATGTTAAACAAGCTGGGCATCGTCAGGCCTTGCATGCGAATATTGCGACTGAGTTGATGAGCGACAGACTCGGTGGACCCAACTTGGGCTCCACCTCGGCTTGCCTCCTGTGGAATCCCAGCGCTGTCTCGGCTTCGACCCGACAACTCGAAATTAATGGATAGTTCCTGTAGCTGAACGAACGAACCTGCAGCGTGCGGCAAGCCTCCG